CACCCCCATCTCCTACCTACTAACCTCATCCCGCCCCCTTGACCTGTCCGTCCTCCCTGGACTGACCTATCTCCTCCCTAACTCCCCACCTACACTCACCTTTACTGGCTCCATTCCCTGCATCTTTGACCTGTCTGTCTCCTCTTCACCTATCTTCTCCTCTATCCATCTTCTATCCGCCTCCCCCTCTCTCCCTATTTATTTCAAATCCCCCTTCCCCTCCCCCATTTCTGAAGAAGGATCTAGGCCCGAAGCGTCAGCCTTCCTGATCCTCTGATGCTGCTTGGCCTGCTGTGTTCATCCAGCTCTACATCTTGTTATCTCTGTGGTATTCTCTAATTTCCAAACTCACATGCATTTTTCAGCAAAGGGACCTGGAGCTGGGGCAGTAGCTGAAATTTTCTTTTCCAGATTCCATAAATGCTCAAACCAAATCTAGTAGGCCATAGTTTCACAATCTCAGGCAAGTCTGACCAGATCAGGTTTCTTTAACTTTGAAAGAAGGCTGAGGGGTGACGTAATATACTCACAGAAAGGTAATAGCACAGTTAGGCCCTTCAATCCATCCAGTCCATGTCGACTCACTCCAAGAGCAGTTCAGGTTACACCATTTCCTCTCCCTTCCCTGTCACCTTGCAATCCTTTTTTCTCATTTCAGGTAATTACTAAAATTAGTTTTGATCTGCCTTCATCATACTCTCCGCATTTTCCTGATCTGCAACATTCACTTTTTCTTCAAGTCGTTTCTGGTTCTTAATGACCTTTAATCTGGTTTTTGAGACTTTTTCCAAATGGAGCAGGTTGGGAACCTGTGACCTGTGGCTTGGGTTCAACTTGGCAGATTGGAGAGTTGTCTATCCCTTTCTTTGCTGATAGTTTGTGTCCTGTAATAGAGTCTCCTTACCTAACACTAGCTGTTGTCTGGCTCCAGTAGGTTTCTGCAAACATTTTTCTTTATACAATTACACAAAATTCTATTCTCTGCCAGTCCATCACTCACTAGTGCAGACTATTCCATCCTTTTATCACAGTCTCTTGCACACAGCAGCTGATGTCACTGTTACACTATGATATACATCACTGTCTCACTATTACAGGTGACATGGTGACTCAGTGGTTAGCCCTGCTGCCTCACAGTACCAAGGATCCGGGTTTGATTCCTGCCTCAGGTGACTGTCTGTCTGGAGTTTACATGTTCTCTCCGTGGCTGCGTGGATTTCCTCTGGGTGCTCCAGCTTTCCCCCACACTCACAAAGATGTGCAGGTTAGGCGGGTTAGCCATGGAGAATGCAGGGTTACAGGGATAGGGTAGGGGGTAGGTCTGGGTGGGATGCTCTTTGGAGGATCGGTGTGGACCCGACGAGCTGAATACCCTGCTTCCACACTGTATGGATTTTATAATCCTATCCATTCCTTTTATGCAACAGGAAAGATCTCTCTCCATCTCCTCTGTCTAAATGCGTCATTTTGATTTTGAATCCTCTTTCATATCTCCTTTCAATCTTTGCTTCTCTGAAAAGAACAACCCCAGACCCTCTAATCCATTCACGTAGCTAAAGTTTCTCTTCCCTGGAAACATCTTCATAAATCATTTCCCAGGCTTTATTTAGTTTCTAAATTGCAGTGCCCATGACTAGACTCTGCATTGCAGTTGAGATTGAAGCAGTATTTTAGTAAGGTTCAAAGTAACTGCTTTGTTTTTGCACTCTAAGCCTCTTTTTATAAAGCCCAAGATTCAGTGTGCCTTTTTAGTTACTTTCTCAACTGGACCTACTACCTCAAGTGATTTGTGCACATCCATTCGCAAATCTTTAAAGGACCTTTAAAATAAGGTATTTGAAAGTTGTAAAAGGTTTAACAGGGTTGAAGTTGAAGAGATATTTCCATTGCTGATGGGTGGTTGGGGTTGGAACTGACATTGAAACCCAGAAATATAAGTATCAGAAAGTCATGCATAAGTCCAATGGCGAACTCAGAAGAAACAACTTAGAAACACAGAGTCATAGAGCACAGAAACAAATCCTTTGGTCCAACAAGTTTATGTAGACCATAATCCCAAACTAAACTAGTCCCACTTACCCGCACTAGGCCCGTACACTTCCAAACATTTCTTAATCAAGTACTCATGTTGTAACTGTCCCCACATCCATCATTTCCTCTGGAGGTTCGTTCCACATACAAACCACTCTCTATGTTAAAAAAAACTCTCCCCAAGTCTTTTTTAAATCTCTCTCCTCTCACCGTAAAAATATGCTCCCTAGTCTTGAAATCCTCCACCCTAGGGAAAAGGCCCTTGTCATTTACCTTATCTATGCCCGTCATTATTTTATAAACACACAGGTTAGAAAGTGGAACTTGCTACTGCAGGGAGTGGCAGACAGGAGAGTATAATTAATATAACAGGAAGTTGATAAGTACATGGATAAGAAAGGAATGGAAGTATAAGCTGAGAAGGTGAGATAAAATAAGGGACAAGACGACTGAATCATTATTCTATAGGGCAAAGTGTTATGGCAATCCTTAGCCTCATCTGAGATCTTTTTTTTTGCATTTGTGTATTTGTCCCTGATGTGCTGGCAAGAAGGAAGGGCCAATAAAGGCTATGCCTCTCACGGTTGAAAACAAAGCGGTTGCTTTTGTCTAGAAGCTCCAGTTCTAACCTATATCTTCCAGTTTGCAGTTGGAGAGCCTTCGCACTGTAAGCCTGGGATCGTCCCAGTTCCAGACGTGGACCCTCTTTAATACATACCGTCCACAATATTGTGACTTCATGCTGATCTCCACCTCCTCCGCTAATGTTTGATGGAGCAACTGTCGGAGCTAGGAAACACAAAGTGGAATATATTTAACCATAAGAATGGAGCTGTATATAAGGGCATATACAGTATCAAGACAAACAAAAACTTCATTAGGCTCAGCATGTATTCTTGGCTGAGAGGTTGGATATCCATTAGACTGGTGACACATCTGACCTCCAAGAAAAACATTACTTGTTTGACAGCTCTAGCTCTCTGCTGCATTTATCACAATGCAGCAAACTTTGTTTTAACCAGCATCTTATCAACTGGCTCTTTTGATAAACCAGCAAATATTGTATACCTGAAATACAGCAATCCACATGTATTGATGCTGTAAATAAAGTTTAACAGTGATGTGTATTTCCTCTGAATTACATTTCTATTACTTACTGTGTGTTTTTACATTGATTTTAGGAGGTGTGTTGATGATTTTACATAGATTTTTTGCGAGATGCTGATGTCTTGAAGTTTCGCTTGGTCAGAGTTTACTGCAGTTACATATACCTCTTGATTATCTGGAATATTTGATCAACCAGCACACTCCTGGTCCCATCAATGCCAGTTAATAAAAAGTGTGCCGTATTTATTTACGCAAGATTGAAGTTTCAAGAGCCTGCAGCATCTGCGATATTTTAAAGGATCTTGATCATTGACATTTTTATTGCCCTGTAGTTAAAGGACATTTCTTTTCATAGTAAGAAGCCATGAATGATTTTCTTTTAAAGCATTTCTTATACAAACAATTGCCACTATATAATTCAGTGTTACATACAGAGTACAGGAGAGGCGATGGCCCAGTGGTATTATCACTGGACTGTTAATCCAGAGACCCAGAGACTCAGATAATGTCCTGGGGATCCGGGTTTGAATCCTGCCACAGCAGATGGTGGAATTTGAATTCAGTAAAAAAGAAAAATCTGGAATTAGGAGTCTAAAGATGACCACAAATCATTTGTTGGAAAAACCCTACCTGGTTCACTAAGAAAACTGCCATCGTTCCCTGATCTGGCCTACATGTGACTCCAAACCCATAGCTGGATGTTAACTGCCCTTTGGGCAATCAGGGATGGGCAATAAATGCTGCCCTAGCCAGCAATGCCCTCTTCACATAAACGAATAAATTACAGTGAGTCAATGGGCACGGAAATGTGATAACTAGGAATGGGGGTACTGGGAGCCATGAAGGAGGTGGATAGAGGGGCATAGGTAGCATGGATGGTACATGACGAATGTGTATACGGGGGTGGGGCGTGGTGACTGTGTGCAAGGGGTAAGGCTAGAGGCTCTTCATTTTATTGTTATCATTGGGGGTGAAGTCCCACAGCATCAAGACAGGCCTTTTAAACAGCCCACCCTGGCATGTGTGAAACCCAGAGGCAGTCTCTGAAACACTTCTCAGGTCAGCTGCCCCCCAGCTGCAGCCCACTCCCACCATCAGTGAAGAACTCTGTTCTTGCATGCGCTTTCTCCCAACATGGGTGCGGCAAGTTCTGGGAATTTTGCTGACTCCCTCTACCACCTCGAAGATAAAAATCCAGCTCAGAGCCCTGTCTCTTTCTCTCTCTCTCCGCTGATGCTGCTACCTGATCTAATCCATCGCAGTGGACCCCAGAGTTTAAAAACCAGGCGGGAAAACACACCGACGCTTCATCGGAGGCTGCACTGAGGATGTTACCCAGCATGGTAACGAAACGTCTGCGGGACAACAAACCAGCTCGGTGAGCCAACCAACCTCAACACCCACAACCCGAGCTACAGGTCTACTCCAAAACCTTAGCTACCTGATCAGCTGAGTTTCCAATTCTCAGCACTTACAGCATTTATTGTAGTGTTACTAGTAGCCGGGGTTCTCCATGTTTGTAGTAGGTCTCTGTAATAAGCCACAGCAAGGTCACAACTGAGGGCCGGTGGAGCTGAAAGTTATGTTACTTACCCGCTTCTCTGGTGCGTATTGTTTGTGAGGGCAGGCTGGGGTCACCGGTCCCTAGAATGTTCTTGGCGATGACTCGGAATTCATAATCCATCCATGGCGTGAGGTTGGTTACCCAGGCTGTCTCTGCATTGCCCTCAATATGTTGCGGAACTTGCCAGATGCAAATCAAAAGGAAAGAGTCAGACATTGGCTGCTGCACAAACTGGGACAAAAACTGCATTTTCTGCTTTGGGGACCCTGTAGCCTTCTGGAGCCAACATTGAGTTCAATAACTTTAGGGCTTGAGCTCTCCCGTGTCCTTACTCTAATCACCACACACCAAGCCCTTTTTATGACATAGTCTGCTATTTTACCCAACCCAGTGTTAGCCACTAACAGTCCCCATTACTAGCTATTCACCTTCCCAGCCAGATTGTTATCCACTCCTTTGTCTGTCCAACTGCTCTTCTCCCTCTTTATGCAGAAGATAGGGTGGGAGAAGAGGGTAAGGAGTAAACGATAAGTGGGGATAAAGCCCAAAAACTGACATTTTCCTAGCTACCATCAGTTCTGAGGAAGGGTCACTTGACCTGAAACATTAACTCCAATTTCTCTCCATAGATGCTGCCAAACCTGCTGAGCTTTTCCAGCAACTCCTGTTTTTGTTTCTGATTTACAGCATTTGCAAGTCTTTTAGTTTTTGTTCAAAAACTGCATTTACTGGATGCCACAGTGAATGAATGTCATGCTGAGCCATTAATGAACAGCAAGATCCCAGTTACTTCTTTTCGTTCCAATCATCTGTGGCTCAGTGGGTATCCTTTTTGCCTTGGAGATAGAAGGCCAGGTCTTCATGTCACACTCCAGAAAAACTGAACATAGGATCCAGACTGGCACACCCTGCACAGTAGTGGGGCGTGTGATACACTGTCGCAGATGCCACCTTCCAAATCATATATTAAATCAAGCCCCCAGCTCTCCACTCATGTGGATGTAAAAGATCCTGTGGCACCATTGTGAAGATAAGCAGGGGAATTCTCTCTGGGGTCCCGGACCTCCGCGAAAACAAAATTGCATTGCTATTTGTTGGATCTTGCTGTGTGCAAATTGGTTGTTTGTTTTCCTACGTTGCACTTCGCATTGACTACACTTCAAAAGGTAAAGGGCTGTGGGATACAATGAAGTTGTGAAAGTCAAATGGGAACCTTCCTGTCGGAAAACCCAGCAGGTAAAAAGGTGTCTGTCCATAAAGGTGAAGCCACAACTGGAGTGTTGTGAGCAGTTCTGATCACCACATCATAGGAAGTACGTAATTGCTCTGGAGAGAGTGCGGAGATGATTTACCAGAATGTTGCCAGGGCTGGAGATTTGTAGCTATGAGGAGAGACTGGCAATGTTGGGGTTATCTACCTTGGAACAGAGAAGGCTGATTAGAGTCGGATGATTAGATTAGGATGATTAGAGTCACACAGCATGGAGAAAGACCCTTCGGTCCAACCAGTCCATGCTAAACATATTCCCAAACTAAACTAGTCCCACCTGCCTGCAGTTGGCCCATATTCCTCCGAACCTTTCTTATTCATGTGCTCATCCAAATGTCTTTTAAACATTGTAACTGTACCCGCATCCCCACCACTTCCTCTGGCAGTTCATTACACACACGAACCAGTCTTCGTGTAAAAAAGTTGCTCCTCATGTCCTTTTTAAATCTTTCTCCTTTCACCTTAAAAATATACCCCCTAGTTTTGAACTCTCCAACCTTAGGGGAAAAAACTTTGCTTTTCGCCTTATCTGTGCCCCTCATGATTTTATAAACCTCCATAAGGTCATTCCTCAACCTCCTAGGCTCCAGTGTAAAAAGGCCCAGTCTATTTTTACAACCCAAACCCGGCATTCCCAGAAACATCCCGGCAAATCTTTTTTGAATCCTCTCCAAATTTAATAATATCCTTCCTATAACAGGGTGACCAGAACTGGATACAGCACTCCTGAGGAGACCTCAACAACATCAATTGTGAGGGGTAGATTTAGACTAGACAGGAGGAACTTATTTGCCTGGCAGACAGTTCAAAGCTTGAATCTATGACTCCCAGTTTAAGTGGCAGAAGAGGGGATGTGAGGAAACATCTTTCTTATGCAGTGGGTGGTGCATGTCTGGAATGCGTTGCCTGAGTTGGTGCTGGAGGATGAGACTCTAAGCCCTTCCAAAAAGTGCCTGGATCTACACCTTAGGTGCTGTAAGCTGCAGGGCAATGGGCCGTGTGCAGGAAAATGAGGTTAGAAAGGGCAAGAGACAACAAGGTGCAGAGCTGGATGAACACAGCAGGCCAAGCAGCATCATAGGAGCAGAAAGGCTATTAGCATCATAGCAGCAGAAAGGCTAGTAGCATCATAGGAGCAGAAAGGCCTAGCAGCATCATAGGAGCAGAAAGGCTAGCAGCATCATAGGAGCAGAAAGGCTAGCATCTGGCTGTCTTTGGGTTGCCATGGACAAGATGTACTTTATCACTTCTAATGATTCTATTTGCCAGGAATGTGACATGTGGAAAGGTGGGGAGGCATGTGTGTGGTGTTTTCAACTACTTGATGGGCAGGAAGTGTTGCCAACCCTCATTAGGTGTATTCCTACAGGTTTCATCACATGATCTGAATGCCCACAAAACAGCCTCCTTTCCCTCCCAAAAATAGGAACTGCTGGAGAAACTCAGGTTTGGCAGCAACTGTGGAGAGAAAGCAGAGTTAATGTTTAGAATCCAGTAAACCTTCTTACTTTCCCTATGCCTCCTTTGATAAAAGAAAGAAAGGGATGTATATCATGTTTCGTCATAACCAACAAATGTCTCTTTACAGCCAATTAAGCAGATTTGAAGCATAATCACAGTTGTAATCTCGGAAACACTGCAGTCAATTTGTGTACAGACAAGAATCCACAAACACCAATGTGATAACATAAGAACATGTGGACTGGGAGGTTAAGAAGGTGTTTAGCACGCTTGCCTTCATTGTTCAGACATTGAGTATAGGAGTTGGGACTTCATTTGAGAATGTACAGGATATTGGTGAGGCCTCTTGTGAAGTGCAGTTCTGATCACCCTATTATAAGAAGGATGCCATTAAACTGAAGAGGGCTCAGAAAAGATTTACCAGAATGTTGCCAGGAATAGAGGGTTTGAGTTATAAGGAGAGGCTGGATAGGCTGGGAGAGAGGGAAGTTGAGGGTAACCTTATTGAGGTTTATAAAATCATGAGGGGTATAGATAAGGTGAATGCCTTTTCCCTAGGGTGGGGGATTTCAAGACTAGGGGGCATACTTTTAAGTTGAGAGGAGAAAGATTTAAAAAAGTCATAGTGGCAATATTTTTCCATAGAAGTGGTCTGTGTTTGGAATGAACTTCCAAAGGAAGTGGTGGATGCGGCTACAGTTACAGCGTTCAAAAAACATTTGGATAAGTACACGAATAGGAAATGTTTGGAGGGATATGGGCCAGGAGCAGGCAGATGGGACTAGTTTAGTTTGGGATTATGGTCGGCATGGACTGGTTGGACCAAAGGGTCTGTTTCCACGCTGTATGACTATATGACTCCATGACTATAAGAAACAGGGAGCAAGATTAGGCCAGTCAGCCCCTGAAGCCCACCCTACCCCACATTCTATAAGATCATGGCTCATCTCCCAGGCCTTGACTCCTTTTCTGTGCCAGCTCCTGATGGCCCTCAACTCCTCAATAGTTCAAAAATCTATCTCCCTTCTGTTCAAGTACTACCAGTGATCTAACCTCCACAACTCTCTGGGGTGCAGAGGCCCAGGCATTCACTACCCTTTGGGAGATGAAATTCCTTCACATCTCAGTCTTAAAATAGTGCCCCCTTTATCTGTGACTACATCCCCTAGTTCAAGAGAGTTCCACTAGTCGAAACATCTTCTCAACATCTACCGTGTCGAAACCCCTCAGGATGGACGGTGAATTTATTTTTGTAATTCTGGATAAATATTGGCAGGGACACTGTGGATAACTCCCCTGTTTGTCTGGAAACAGTAGGATCTTTCATATCCAAGCAGGCAGGTGGGGCCTTGGTTTAATGGCTCATCTGAAAAATCGCAACTCCAAAATTGCAGCCTGACCTCGTTGCTGGGAAGCTAACATCACTGGACTAGTGGTCCAGAATCTCAAACTAATGTTCTGGTGGTGCAAGTTCATGGAAGATGGTCAAATTTGAGCCCAAAAAATCTGGAACGCAACACTGTCATGGAGTAATACAGCACAGAAACAGACCCTTCAGTCCAACCAGTTCTTGCTGTCCATAATCCCAAAATAAACTAGTCCCACCTGTCTGCACTTGGCCCATATCCCTCCAAACATTTCTTATTCAGGTACTTACCTAAATGTCTTTTAAATGTTGTAAATGTACCCGCATCCACCACTTCCTCTGGAAGTGCATTCCACGCACGAACCACTCTCTGTGTAAAAAAGTTGTTCCTCATGTCTTTTTTAAATCTTTCTCCTCTCTCCTTAAAAATATGCTCCCTCGTCTTGAAATCCCCTACTTTAGGGAAAGGACCCTTGTCATTCACCTTATCTGTGCTCCTTATGACTTTATAAACCTCTATAAGATTACCCCTCAATCTCCTATGCTCCAGTGAAAAAAGTCCCAGCCTATCCAGCCTCTCCTTATAACTCAAACCGTCCATTCTGGTAGCATCCTGGCAAATATTTTCTGAACCCTCTCCAGTTCAATAATATCCTTCCTATAAGAGGGCAACAAGAACCGCACACCGTACTCCAGAAGAGGCCTCGCCAACGTCCTGTACAACCTCAATATGACGTCCCAACTCCTATACTCAAAGATCTAAGCAATGAAGGCAAGCGTACTTTCTTAATCACCCTGTCTACATGTGATACAAACTTCACAGAATTATGTACCTGATCCCCCAAGGTCCCTCCGTTCTACAGCACTACGCAAGTTCATTGTGGCTGCATAACCATTATTGTACAACCCAACGGACTCACTAATATCCTTTGTGGAAGGAAGCCTGGCCTATCTGTGATCTCAGACCCACAGCAATGTGGTTGTCTTTTTGGGCAATTAGGGGTGGATAATAAATATTGGCCTAGACAGTGCCACCCACATCCCATCCATGAATTAAAAAAAAGAATTTTGCAGAAGTGTTACCGTGCAGAAGGAGGCTATTCAGCCCATCACATCTACACCAGCACATCAAATGAGCATCATCATCTAATGCTGATTTCCTGCTTTTTCCCCATACCCCTACCCATTATCTCCATCAAAGTATCAGCCTTGGAATATGTATCAAGATTGGGACTTAAAAACTGGAATCTTGTGATTTAGCGGCTATAAACTGAGCCGTAGCTTTCAAATCAACTGAAGTGTTGAAACAAAATTAGTACATAAATGGGCCCTTAATTCCACAAGCCCTTTAATTTTTCTCTTGGTTCTCGGTTATAGCAGTTGTCTGGTGATTAACCTTCAACTTGTACAGTCCGAAGGGCAATCTGGGACAGCTGTGTAGACTGGGTTTGCTGCCTCATTTACCTGAGGCCTGGTAATCCTTGAACGCACTCCTGCATCTGAAAGTTCAATACCTTCACGAGATGCAACACCAGCAGAACAAATAAGAACAAACAAATAAACAGCATTCTCCTCCTCCGCACTGCCACCCACAGTTGATTATTCCAGATAAAAGAAAGGTTAACATTCCAAACAAGCTGCTCCTGGTAAATTTTGCTTTGGCCTGTTGTGAGGTTAAACTAGGAATCTTGCTGCGGTGAATTTAAAGTGATTGATTTCAGTAATCTCTCTTCCCCTGCCCCCAAGCTGACTTTCTGCTGTGCTGCACTGCTGGTCCCAACGATGTTGGGGGGTGGACATGGCAGTCCATTTATGGGAAATAAAACCACCACAAATAACATCAAAATGAAAAAGAATGCTGGAAATCACAGTGGATGCTGCCTGACCTGCTGTGATTTCCAGGACATATTCCAGCATCTGCAGTAATTTGCTCCTAATTCAATCTTTTTGCAGTTATTAAAGAACAGGTTACTTTAAACAGGTAGTAAGAACTGCAGGTTACCTTAAACTTTTTTTAAAAAAGTGGTTCTGCCAAGAGATTGGTCAAAAGGATCAGATTCTCCTCTTTTTAAAATTACAATTTTTAAAGCAGACTTTCCATGAGTAATTAAAGCAAAATGAGTTTCTATCCATCCTTCGTGTTGCCCTGTATAATACAACCAATCGTTAACAGATCCTGTATTCCCAATTCTTTTCAATACGTTTTTCCAACATGCAGAAATAATACAAAAGCAATTAAAGACAAAACCTGATAATACACTATCCCATATTCTCATTGTAACCAAAGTTGCTCTACTTTGAGGATATCTAATAGTTTCTTAGGGTTAGAACTTTTCTAGGAGAAACAATCTGATAATTGATGGCTTGTCTCAAGCCATTTTATTTAGAAATCTCTTTTCTTTCCAACATCTCTTTTATGGTGGCAAGGGCAATTCTGAACTTTTGTTCTCCAGGACATCCTCTTCAAATGAACTTTGTCCCAAACAGGACAATATACTATGGAAAATTTCCCACCTGACGAAGGTGCAGTGCTCCGAAAGCTTGTGTTTTCAAATAAACCTGTTGGACTATAACCTGGTGTCGTGTGCCATCTGACTCTGTCCACCCCAGTCCAACACCGGCACCTCCACATCATGGCTTCTACTAGTGACAGTGTTTCAGCATCTACAGTGCTTTTAACAATCCTTTTTATTTTCTTGGTTTTCCAAGTCAATGGGCAACTTTTATTTTTCTTTCTCTTGAAGAACATGATTAACCCAAACATATGAGAATATCCATCTAGACGACTAATATGTGAAACATTGCTAAAAATTATTAACCTCATATTTTTTGGATTGCCAAAGCTGGAAACTTGGGTGCACATTTCACAGAATTAAAATTCTGTAACATTTTCTTTAGTCTTAAAACCTGCCTCTATGACTGCAGTCAATAGATTCCAAGCCAATTGATGAGACTGAAATCAAGGAACATATCATTTCTTTTAGAGTTTATCGACTTCCTCATTCTCACATCTTTCATCCCACATCTAATCTCTCAGCTGTCTCCTACATAAAGATTTCTTTTTTAAAAAAATCAACGTGTTCAGAGATGTTATGACACACTTCTGGACTTGAACTCAGGCCTTCTAGTCCAGAAGTAGGAACATTACCACTGCACCACAGCAGCCATGCCTTTCTAATTTGTAATTAATAGCCATCATCTGTTTCTCCTAACCTCAAATAAAGACATTAACAAACTTAACAATGCGACTAATAAAACATTAACACATTTGCCTCTCACAGACTACTACAAATCACATAATCAGTATGCCATCATCACACCCAAATCTTTAAACAGGGAAATATATCTAGTACAGTGCTAACTATACCTGTTCTGACATTCTTCCATTCGTCAGATAGTGATGCTCTGGCTTGTATTATGTACTTGCCAATTGGGCTGTGGTTATCAAAGCCTCTACTCCAACTCAGCAGCACCGAACTATCATTAACTTCTTTCACCACAACACCTCCTGGAGGACCGGGTGGACCTGGGAAACAACAATATCATGCATTTATATAGCGCCTTCAATGTCCAAAAGGCTCTTGACAACAGAACAACTAGGCAAGATATGACACTGAGATACCACTGTAGATATCACGTTAGGTGACCAAAAATGTGGATAAAGTGGTGGGTTTTAAGGAAGTTCTTAAAGGCACAGAGTTTTAGGGAGGAGAATTGAACATTCAATGGCAACGAATGATGGAATGATTAAAACTGGAGATGCTCAGGAAGCTAGAATTGGAGGAATACAAAACACTTGGTGGGTTGTGGGGCTGGAGGGTGATGTAGGGATAGAGAATGGTGAGTGTAAGGAGGGATTTGGAAATAAAGATGAGAAATGTAGGGAAGGCATTCCAGAGCTTAGGGGTGAGACAGTTGAAAGAACAAACATCGCTGCATATCTAGAATTGAAAAAGATATTAGACATCTTGTAACAACTGCACTGAAGCAAGAGACAAAATGTAATCTTCTAGAACTGGGGTGGGGAATGATGATTTAACTTCAATACAGGAAGAAATAAGTACAATTGCACCAGAATAGGCTGAAACAAAGGGTCTTATATCAGGG